GCGCACCATCACACATATTGACGGCCCGCCGTAGTCGTGTTCCTCGACATCAAAGGTGCCTCTGATTCGGTTGATCGATGTGCCCTTTGGAATTGTTTACTCAGGAAAGGTGTGCCTGATAAATATGTAAATATTATCCCAGCATTATACGCGCGTAGCACGGACAGAGTGAGGGCTTACGGCAAGCTGTAGCCACCCTTCAATATCCCCAGCGGTGTGAGACAAGGTTGCCCGCTGTCACCTTTCCTCTTCAACTTCGCTATTGACGAAGCCATGGAGTTTGCATTTACAGGACATGACTTGGAAGGTGTGGAGCTACTCCCAGAAGAACGACTTCTTGACTTGGAGTATGCAGACGACATTGCCCTCATCTGTGACAGCTCCCAGACGTGCCAAGCCGCGCTGGACAGATTAACACTGGTTGTCAGCCGCTTCGGGTTTTGCTTTGCACCATCGAAGTGCAAAGCGTTCCTCCAAGATTGACAGGGATCGCCTCCTGCGCTGACCCTTAGTGGGATCAGCTAGAAGTCGTTCAGAAATTCAATTACCTGGGAAGTTGTATCAGCACGCTTGGAATCGGAGACGAGATCACGAACCGTATAGCGAAAGCTCGAAGTGTTTTTGCTAACCTTCGCCACCTATGGCGGCGGCGCGACATCGCTCTCGCCCTGAAGGGTAGAGTGTACAATGCAGCGGTACGTTCGACCCTACTGTACGGTTGCGAAAGCTGGCCCCTAAGATCGGCGGACATGAAGAGGCTAGTTACGTTCAACCATCGGTGCCTTCGCAGTTTGGCTCACATCTGGTGGGAACACCGCGTGAGTAACGAGCGTGTTCGACGCATTGTTTACGGCCCAGGAAAAGGCTTGGAACCGCTCAGCACCGTTAATTCCCGCACCAGGCTCCGATGGCTCGACCACGTGTTACGCATGCCAGCCCACCGACTCCCTCGACGTGCGTTGTTTGCTCACCGGGGATGTGGGTGTAAGAAGAGGAGAGGTGGCCAAGCTTTGACTTGGTCGAGCGGAATTAAGTCCCTCACTTCTGAGCTGGCCTCGGTTGGAGTGTCACGGCCCCCTGGTTGGGGTCCAAAAGACGGTGAACACGTTTGGCTGGATACACTTGCTGACATGGCAAGGAGCCGACCTCAGTAGCGTTTGTGCTGTGAATTTCTTTGTCCTTCCCCATCCCTTTTAGCCTCCCCCTCCATCTGCGATCTCATTTCGTAGGGTAAAACATAATAAAAAATTTTCTTTTTGCCTAGTAGCTGGCTGGTAGCTTACCGGAACGATGCCTATCCGTTGCTGGTAGCTCAGCTGGCATGCAACGGTTGTATCTATTTTTCCTTTGTGTATTGTATTATTTGCATGTATGTATGTATTTCCTTCTTGTATTGTGGCACAATAGCGGTGGTGTTTTCCCACCTCTAGCTGACGTGTATAATGATGATGATGATGACCGCAGCGATCTGCAATGTGCGATGTTGGTCCAGAGACTCATATTACCGACATGATCTGATGCCGTCTCTTACTAAAACACAAGTACGCATGACTCTTAGCTGTCTTTTACCGCTCTAAAACGTCCAATCAAGAAATTAATGCCAGTTTGCTACTTGCTATGAACACGGTAACACGCCCTAGGAACAGCCACAGTCTCATCTCCGGAGACTTCAATCTACACGATCTGGAAACTTCGTCATCTTCCAATAAATAGTTCAAAGCAGTCCTGCATGAAGGTATCGCTAATTTTCCCTTGCACAACCATGTCACAACGCCCACTCGATACATTATTGGACCGTGTGCTAATGAATGAAGAGCTCAGGGTTGAAAAGTTGTTGATGGATAGAACATTAGGTCTCATCGATCATGTAGTATTAACGTCCAGCTATGTGTGTTCAATAGGTACCCATCTAAACATCCGGAAATCACTCATACAATCACACGCTACCACGTTTTGAAAGAGCTCATCAACCCAGCTGTTTGGGAATTCTCAAATAACAATCCCCATGACAACGTTTAGACAGAGTTCGTTGAAAGACTCGGCGACATCATCAACAGAGCACCAGAGACCAAGCCCCTTCGTCCCGCAAAATTGCCTTCAATGCTAAGGAGCAGGACTCGAAAATGCCTGGCGATAAGGGATGCAGCGTCGCTTACCTACAAGATTAACCCCGTCTCAAAGACTTGGGGAAATTTCCTGACCTATCGGAACCATCGCACTGCACTTGTCCGTGAAGAAAAAGTAAGTTATCAACTGCGCCTAGAAAAAATATTCCTGGCAAACAACAAACCACCGTATAGGCATGTAAACAATCTTCGTACAGTGTAGCCTGACATCCCTCCACTTTTCACGACAGGCAGTAGAGTACAAAGCGCCATAGAAGCAGTTAAAGCCCTGCGGCTACCATAAGCCACAATTGTTGAAATCACAGCCTCTACCTGTCCCATAATATCAAGCACCGACACCTTTGTTTACAAATGTTATTTTCAACCCATCAATTGTGCTAAGGAAGTTACTCTCACTGCGTGAACATAGTTCTCCAGGAGCAGACAACATCCGCCCGAAGGCACTGAAGGCTATGGCCAACAAGCTAGCTGAACCACTGTCACAGTTTTTTCAAAGGTGCTTTGATGAACAACAAGTCCCCACTATGTGGAAGTGTGGCATTATAACCCCTATTTTTAAAGGCGGTAGCCGTTCCGATCCTGCAAACTATCGTCCAGTGACTCTCCTCCCTGTGCTCGCCAAGGTGATGGAAGCGGTCGTTGCTGAGGCTTTAATGGACTACCTGGAAAAAGGCGACATCTTTGCAGCGGAGCAGCATGGCTTCCGTCAACACCGGTCATGCACCACCAACCTACTGATTGCACGAGGTAGTTGGACGGAAGTGGCCGATGATGGGGTCGGAGTTGAGGTCATCTATCTGGACTTCTCCAAACCTTTCGACCGCCTTGATCACCGCATCCTACTTCAAAGACTACAGAGTTACGGAATCGGAGATCCTGTACTTGTTTGGATTTGGAACTTTCTTCACCAACGGAAGCTTCAGGTGCGTGTAAGAGGATCACTCTCTAACCCGGTTGAGGTGGAATGCGGTGTTCCACAAGGCTCAGTGCTGGGACCGCGCTTATTCCTGGTGTTTATCAACGACCTGGCAAGAGTTAGCTCCTCAAAATTTCTTGCTGTTTGCCAATGATGTCAAGATATGGCAGACGGTTAATGATAATGAAGGTCACGAGTTAGTCCAACATGACCTAAATTGCTTTTAGGAATGGTCAACCGGGAACCTACTTCAGTTGAACACAGCTAAGTGCAAGATGATCCATTTGCGTCACCAACCGGTGACGGCTTACAAGCTTGAAGACCACAATTTGGAGAAGGCCTATCAGGAGTGTGACCTGGGTGTATTGGTACAGGAAGAACTCGGGTGTTCAATACAAGCAGAGAAGGCAACGAGAACCGGCAAACAACACTTCGCCCTGCTTCGCAGAGCGTTCGGTCGATTTGAACCCTCAATCTTTCCCCAAATGCTTAACGCTTCCGTGCGACCGCATGTGGAATATGTTATCTAGGCATGGCAACCGTGGCAGAAACAGGATCACGTTGCTCTCGAGACTCCTAAACGAAGGGCAACCAAGAACGTTAGAGCCTTCTTTCATCTGCCCTATCAGCTTAGACTGAAATCTCTGAGAACGTACATCCGTCGATATCGGCTTGTGCGGGGGATTTCATAATGGTTTATCAAATTCTGAAGAACCCAAACCACATTTGCCTTCCGCTGCTGGAATTGAACCGCAACACTAACCTAAGAGGTCATCCTCTGAAACTGAAACTACAATATAGTCGACTTGAATGCCGTAGAAATTTCTTTTTCAGCCGCAAGTGCCAGCCTTGGAACGCCCTCGCTAATTATGTTGTCTCTGCTCCCAATCTGACGATATTTAAAAACGAATTGATGATGCTTTGTCTCATTTGTATTGCATTTTATTAATTGTTAGCCAAGGGTCACAAAACGCAATCAAACCGTGTCTTACCAAACTCCCAACCAATGCATTAATACATTTAACACGTGATCATCTCCAGTATTATAGTTACCGCTATGGTGTCTCAACCAAAATGTTTTCACCTCATTATGCAAGTTATTTTTAGCAATACTTTCCATCCCACGGGACTTGTTAAGCAGTGCTTTTTTACCCGTAATACATTATTGTTCCATTGGTACCGCCTATTTGCTAATATCTTGCTATGATAAACTTAATTTTCCCTAAATTAGTATCTGTCGATTTATACATTCCTCAGTTAGCAATACCTTTCTTTACCACAGCTCTATTATGCAAAATATTATGCGTTTGGTAAGTGACAAGTCTTCTGTTAGCAGTAAGGATTTCTAGCCAAATCTTTGTGTGGCGAATTTGGTTTGATACTAGGATACATAGTGATGCCGCAGAAATCTATACAATATTAAGTGCCTAAATGGTGAGTTTGTGCGATGCCCCAGTAATCCACACATCTATTCAAGTGGAATATTTGAAAAAGAACAAATCTCTTGATTTGAAAACGGTTTCAGTCGAGAAGTATACCAATTTATTTGGTATATGAATATGTCATTTATTTTATTCTTCCCAGTACAGACCGTGAGGTGACCTGAATGGGTCTAAGAGCGCATGCTAGTACACCAGACAAATGAAAAGGTGCTAGGAAGAAATTTCTTCAGGTTGTCTTGCTTTACAGTTATTTATTTCTTAGTGGAACTTCATTGAAGCTAGTACTACAAGATCCAAGCACGAAAATATATTCAGTTTTATTTTGCCTAGGGATGCAGTCTGCAGACACCTAGAGGACAATTGGTGTCGCTGCGACCATGTGAAAAATGATCCAATACCAACTATCGATTAACCTGTCATCCCAATTTGAGGGTAGCTTAAACGGCAAGACCCCATTTTGCATATAATTAAGTTGAAGCAAAATGTATTCACCAAAAAATGTAGAGTACAACGAACCATTCTCTCTCCACTTGTTTTGTCCATGAAAGAGGCTGCAAATGATTGGAGAGAGAGAGAGAGAGAGAAGAGCTCATGCAGGCAACGTAATACCCAGTGGTCATTTGGCAATACTTTAGACAATACTTCCTACTGGTGACAAGTAGCTGCAGCGGTTATGAAACCATTTTGATGCACCTGTGCAACGACAGACGTGAAACCTGAATTATGGTAGCAACATATCAAGTAAAACCATGCTATTTAGTGAGACCACCGACATCTGCAGTCAAAGCAGTTTTCACCGATTGTAAAGCATTGTCATCAGTTTCGCCCAGTAACTCACCGCTTTTTGCGTTACCGATATTCGAGTGAACGATATTTAAAAGTATCTTGTGCTTCAAGGTTTCGGGAGATGGCATCGATATCTATAGTACAGTAAGAAGATAACAAGTAGGTTCATCGCAGGATAAGAAATTTACTGACGCGACACCAAGTGAAGGACATCTGACATCCAACATTTCACCTAAGTCATATTCTGCGAGCAACTCCACGATTTTGGTAATCACAGTCCATAAATCACGAAACCGTTAAGTAGAACTTATTACAGACAAACTTAGGTAGACGAACACAACACTACCGCATAAGAATATGAAAGCAGACTCACCTCATTCGGTGCTATTATTAATATGCATTTCCATCCGGTTCTGCATGACTAGAAGTCTTAATCAAGAAGCTTGCAAGTAAGTAATGAATATTGGGGCCCACCTACGCGATGAATTTATAGCAACATGCTTTTCCGCCTTTTAGTAAGGTTGCAAAAACGAGATGCGCGACCGAATAAATGAGTACACGTTGATTTGCTTTTTCAAAGCGAGTAATGACACGGAAGCTAATCCGAGGCAGTAGCATAAGCACGTGACGCGGTTTCGTGACTTCTATCTTCGGGACACGGGTTGCTACCCGACCGGTGGTAGCAGGGCTGAGTCAGGCTGGAAGCTGAAGAAATAAGGTCGTCATCATCAAATAGGTTGCTACCCGATCGGCTGTAACACGGCTAAATCACGCGGGAAGCTGAGGAAACCAGACTGTCAGAGTGAAACAGGTTGCTACGTGACAGGGCACGATAACAGCTGGCCACATCAGCTGACCACAAGCAAGCTTGAAATCTGTCCAGGGCAAGTGGCTTGAGTCAGCACAGGGACATACAACAGGAGATGATAGATTGAGACCTGTACAACGAACGGTGTTCTGTGACTAATATACTTTGATCTAGCAGGCTTCGGTGTTCTGTTTTATCCCCGGCTGGGTTGGCGTGACAGAGAGCAGAGGGAAGACAGCGTTATAACAGAAGAAAATGTCAATAGCCTAGGTTGTTCATTTGTTAGACAAACTGTTCGCTGAGCTCGGCACTTTCGAAGCAGTCTTTACTTCGCCGGTCGGTGTAACATCATCAGTGCGTTAGGGTGTAGCGTAAAGGGGCGATGCTTAAGTGTGTCATCCGTACGTCTGTAGCAAAATTGCCTGACCCAGTAAACAATTTGTCTAACAGTGAGTATTCTTGTAGTTTGACTATCAACACCGAATGAGTGCAGGAACTATTTTTAAGCGAAAGACATTCTCGCACATGTCTAATAGATAGCTTGAAGAAAATGCATTGAAAACTCGGTGTAGGACCGTCCAGGATACGAAGACCCGGCTCTTGTATATAATATCGCGCGGCCGATGTCTGATAGCGTCAACAGGGATAATCATGTTTACGCTATCGTAATGGAAAGGTGAGTACCCATAACTCTTCAAAACCGCAAATGTTGCTGTCAGCTCCAAGCTGGCGAAGCTGGCTGGGGCCAGGTTCTTAGAAGAGCTGCTGTTAAGTTGTGGGTTGGTGTAAGAATCTTTCATGTCAAATTCTAAATATTTCTTTACTGGGGAAACTGAAGTGGTTGTTTACGTATCCTCGATATCCTCCCTGACAGTTTTAGTCCTGAACAGGTGCATGCAGGATCGACCTTAAGAGTTAGTGTCCGACTGACAGTCAGGGCCGACTGAACCACACAATATGCACGTCCATCACAATGACCTACGTCGTTAGAACATGCTACTAACACTATACACTGTAGGTAATTCAAAAAACAAAGGCTAATATGCGAACTTACGTGAGACGGTAAAACGTATTTTCCTTTTATTTGTTCCAGTGGTTCAAATTTTGGCAAAGGAGGGCATAGCAACCATTCTCCCAAGTATTCTTGCAGTACAACTGCCAAGTAGTTCTGCTCTTGTGACCTGCAAAAATGGAGAGGTGTGAGTTGAGAGGCGATATTAAGGATATACAGTGTTGTGCTCGACGGAGTTGGAGTAAGACAAGACAGAACTCATGAACTCCGGCGGATGGATTTCATCTGCACCTTGGAGACTTAAGCATCTGCCACGTTCTCGCCAACCTTAAATGGGCTGCGCCTAAAATAAACATATTTATAAGGAGTATTAAGCGCATTTACCATGGCATAATTAGGAGTTCATCAGCTTTAGACTTGGTCAGACAGCGGTCACATACCCGGAAATGCATTGTACCGCCGTCTCATTCTTTTGGGTATCGTCAGAAATGCACACTCTATTTACCCACTGGAGGGCTTGAACCCACAACCCTACTGTTCCCAGTTCGCAGTGACGAGCATTGGCCAAGGGGGACGGTAAAGACCGAGGTGACAAACTTGTTCGATGTGATATGTGATGCAGTTCCCCGTATACCACACAACTCCATTATATGCAGTCTGCACGCCAAACTTCTTACAATGCCATTAGTTAAGTGGTGAATTAAATTTGGTAAGCTGGTTGCTTAGTGGAGGTTGTGCTATCCTCTGCTCGGCATTGATGTGTAAGTCAGTGGATAGAGAGCGGTTCTATATCATCTCTAGTAAATTAGTCACACCGGTCGTTACAATCCCTCGTAGCTTAGGGCTTTTAACCGCGGACTGGTAACAGTCAAGCAGCATGCTCCAGTTGCGCAGTAGCCAAGTGGAGTGCGCGTTGCAGACGATTCTCGAAAAAGGAAACGGTTGTACAGTGCTTTTCAGGATGTGACGGTTCTCTGACTGAGTCTTAATATTATTCCTAATTGAAAGCTTCTAATGAAGAATTCAAGGTAAGAAGACGAAAACTGGTAGATGCGTGCATTTCGTATTATCTCTTCTCTGCCAGTAGCCTAGGGGTAACGAGCTTGCCTCCTAATCTTGCTGCGCGGGTTCGAATTCGCGTATGAGTGGGCGTCTTCGCGGTTTACTCAGCCCGCCGGTGACTGGTGGTGGTCGCACGGCAGCGAAGCGCCATTAAGGCGTACAGCTGACCCTATTGTTATTATTATTATTATTATTATTATTATTATTACAAACGGACACTTGTGAAAACTTTAGTTAGTCGGGCCGGACGAATTTGCTCGGCGGATTGTCTGGCCGATGAGCTAGAGTTAATTACAACTACGCTCAGGGCGAATGGTTATCCTCGCAAATTCATAAAAGGCACAGTCAACGGCGGGGCTCAAAGGACTTAATGCATAAGGCAGCTATGAAGTAGGTCTATATCGCTTTGCCTTCCAAGGGTGATTTTCATACGCTGAAGACCTCTAGACGTTCAGTTTCTGGTGCTCAAAGAAGTTACCATGCGGTTGAAGTTGTGATCATTACCGAACTCGCAATTCGCCTGTTCCTCCGACGATGGAAGCTCAGTCGATTTGGGCCAATTCATACGGCATATACCAATTTATGTAGGGCTGCAGATTTAGTTACATAGGTAGAACTAATCGGTCTTTGACTTCCCGGATAAAGGAACACACGTCAAGGTGGGTTCAAGGTGAAATTGACAAGCATCCCAGCCCTCTGAATTGTCATGCTAGCGCAGGCCGCTAGCTTCCTGTATAGGTAGACACCTACTGGTCAGGCAGCACCGGATACAGCTCGGATCAGCGTCCACAATTGCGTTATGTCATTCTACTACTCGCTTCCTCCTTTTCGCCGAGGCTGTGGTAATAAGCCGGATGAACCCATCTCTGTGTGTTCAAAAACAATTATTTGTGAGCTTAAAACTGCCTTGGTCATATTGGTGCAACTTCCGTCATTCCGTTTGTACCTCAAACTTGTTTGGTCATACGCAGTCATTTATATAGTTGCATCTCAGTTATTGTTAATGGTACTGACGAGACAACACGAAACCCATGCATCTACCAGCTTTCGTCTTCTTACTGTATTGCTCAAATCGCTAAAGGGAATCAACTGATTTGAATTAAAGGTAGTTGGAAATCTGAGTGTTATAGGGGTCTAAAATAACTCTACGGAACACAGCACGCCCTGAGTTCGAAAGTGCTAGTAACCCGTTACACCTGCGTTCAACAAACTGGCTAAAGATTGAAAATGGGACAAACCCGTTTATCTTCTGAACTGATGAAACTAAGACCCAGTTCTAAATGCGGTCATTATTGATAACTGCGGTTGACTAGACTAAACAGTTCAGTAGTGCTCTTCAAGTTATTATTCTACGGATTTAATCACCAACTTCAACATATTTGAAGAAAAATGTTTAACAATATTCCAATGAAATCATTTCTGACTGGGTTCAACAGGCTAAAAGTTTGAGTAAAACTCGTGGACCAAGCGAAATTCTGTGTTGTGTGGAAGAGGTGATGGGTACATTTAGCTGAACGGAAGACGAATTTTGTGATTCACCCAGAATTTAAGATCCGTCCATTGTGAATCAGCCACGGACACATTATTGAAAGTTTTACGCAGCGATTATTCTGCCTAATGGTGAGCCTCCTAGCGTATCTGTGATGTTATCGACATTCCTATACCTATCCAACATAGAGTGTATCCCAAATGGTCAGCTAACATTTGCAACAGATACGTTCGGGAGATGATTGGTTACGCCTAAGCAACCACGGTTACTTGATCTGCAGTCCGATAATTTAAGCATAGGCAAACCCAAATAGTTGCTGCTAATACTTTGGATACCGGCGCTACAACGAAGGTTAAAACCGTGTTAAGCAATACGATGCGCAAGTTGAATGTCTAAGATGTGAGGGAATGCTTTGTCGGATCTGAGGACTGAAAGATCAATTAGACCCTACTCTTTAACTTCTGCCTAGGGGGTACGTTAAACGTACTCCTCAATGGTACAGATTGCATAGGGTTTCGCAACCTATTGAAAGTAGCTTCAGGTTTCACTTGCATTAGCAACAATTTTCTTTTATTATGTTTAACGCAGCTTCCTTAGTGACCGACCATAGTGTAGTCTCTGGTTGACCGTTCGTGACACCACTATACTTTTGAATAAGTAACCTAAGGGCTGCTACATCGCAATCACGTCTATGAATGTAGTCATCCTACTGAACAGTACAGGTGATTACGGAGCATGCTGTACACGCAACCCGAAGGCAAAGGACTCACTACAACTGTTACATTTCCTGAACCCTAAATTGTTTTTGTTGCCCAAGTTGCAACAATTCTATATTTTTACGGTCGAATTCCCAACATCCCTTTGTTTCTCGTATCCAGCAATTATTTTGCCTATTTTGGCAGTATGTTTTGTACTTTACTGGACTTGATAGCGCTTATCATGATGGAAAGAATAAAATAACTGTCAGGAAATCTTTGAGTTTCTTTTCCATCCTGCATCCGGGGCCAGTTGCGAAAAATCCACATCATCGGAATATAGATGTCTGAAGCTATTTTGCGTTTCGTTTTATCGGGTTTTGTTCATATACCGTATACCAGATCGATCGCGTTTTGTGTGTGAAAATGGCTGTCCCGAAAATTTTCTCCTTATCATTAGTGAAGAAAGATTACATAGACAAAACTGATCCAATTATATTTGCTTTCTAATCTTTCCCGTTTATCTGTTTCCACTTCAGTAGATTACTGAAATACCTGTGTTCCTAACAAATGGAAATTGATGGTTGTTTTGAATACAGGATAGTCTCCTGCCAAATTTCAAAAAATTGATCCTGATAGACATTGAGATTCAATATCTTATACCCTTTCATTGCTCCCCAAGTGACGGCGACTTTTGAGTACACTGATACCAACGATGTATTCCAACATAAATTTGGTTGAAAAATATATTCATTTTTCCTTGACACTCATTTGTTGCTGTCTGTGTACCGCACCCAAGTTCCAAAGTGGGTCGCATCAATCGCAATCAGGAAATAGGTAGTTTTAATGTAAGTACCATTTACTATTAATTGTAGGCGTGCAGTAAAAGGGTAATTAATAGACGAACGAGAACAGTGCTTTTGTAACATAATTCAATGAGACTCCTTTAACTCATCTGGAAGAATACAAGTCCTAGTAAGTTGACATCGCACATCAACGTGTAGAATGCGCGCCGACTCAGTCTTTGCTGGTCATGGTGAATTGTGTAGACGGACTGAAAGCACACTTGGACAAGACAAAACCCCCAAATGGTAGCAAAATAGCATATCCAGCAAGTTTCAGCAACCGTGGATGTATTCACCCAATTCAACTACTGCCACCTCCCCGCTGCCTTGCGGACAGGCTTTTGAGCTAAAGGCTTTAGCTGAGGACCCTAATACTCCTCCTGTCCAGGTCTGGGCGCCTTGGCAGTATCAAGCCCACATAGAACCATGACTTTTTCTTCCAACATAAACTTCATCCTGCATCGGCCGTCGCGCAGATTATCAAGGGTCGCCTTATCTGCTGCATACAGCAGGGCGGATAAACGAAAACATGCTACTACTGACACCTCCCTTCTTTCTTTTCCACCCGTTTCTCTTACTCCCATCCTGACCCCTATTACTAAGGTTCCTTTTATAATTCCCAGCTTAATTGACAGCAACCGAAGTGCTGCTGGAGTAGAATCATCTGCAACCTCTTTTATGAGACACTCACCGGAGGCCTAGCGGCAACAGTCCCTTAGAAGACCACGTTGTCCCGTTTCCATGACGACATTCAACTTTCGCACTCTAAGACAAACAGGTCAACAGGCTGCGTTCGCATGCACCTTGGACACTCTGGGTATTGATGTGTGTTGTGTGTCCGAAACTATCACCCATGGCCCTAATGGGGTTATTAAATTAACTGCCCGGGCTTCTCCTCTCGTTATTAGTTGCATGCATTCGGAGACGCCGATGCAGCACCCACGCGTCAAGCTGGTGTAGGTATCATTCTAAGCTCCAAGGCTGAGCCATTGTTGGTTGACTGGATTCCAGTGAACAGCCGTTTATGTGCAGCCCGTTTGACGACATCAGCTAAGGTTGATTCACGAAGTAGTACAAA